ACTGTTTTTTCTCTCTTTGGTTTTAACTTCAAAGTATTTTGAGTGAGAAAGAGGAGAGGGAGAAGGAACTTGATTGCATAAAACTTTTTAAAATGATCCGGGTTGGGGGTTTCCTGTTCATGCTTTGCTTGTTTGTTCAGTTTTCTTTTCTATGTTACTATAAGAGTGTGCTGAAAAGTTCTTGATAAAGATCTGATATTGTGTTTGGTCAGGTTTTGAAAAGTTAATACTAGAAAGTGCTGAAAAGTTTTTAGCTTATTCACTAATTTTTTTTTTCTTCTTTTGTCTATCTGTCAGCCATCAATGATATTAGAATTCTGTCTTTATTGTAACTACTCCCAACACATTTTTAGTTTTAAATTACTTATTCAATTTGTGACATGTGACTATACGAACTGCTGCGTAATAGGGTCATTGGGGACTAAACTAGTTTTCTCCCCTTTGCTGGTGAGAAGGGTGTTGAGAAAATCAGCAGAATTGAAAACAAGAACCATCAAAGGGTAGATGAAACAGACTTGTAACATCAACAGCCACTTAGCATGGTGGGGTAGACCAGGCTCCATGGCTATGTGAACAGTCAGTGTCAGAATGACCTAGCATTGCTGGGTGAAAGATTTCCGGGGCTGAAGTCTCGCCTGAGTGGAGGGTTGTCTTATGCCCAGCCTTGATGGAATCCTTGTTCTTGTGACTAAGGCAAACTTTCAAGTTGGAGGACATTGGCCCTGGTTTGGCCCGGAGAGGACCCACCAGATCTAGTTGCTCAAGACACACTATGCATGAATAAATACTTCTGTGACCTTCAGGTAGATGACGGTAACTGGTCTGATTGGATTGATGATGATGAGTTATACAAATTTCCAAAACAGAAAGTTTTATCTGGTGGAAGAGGGGAGTCATTTGAGAATGCTAAATTAAACCCTTACTTTGTGTCCATCAAATTAGCTAAAGCAAATCTTTATCTTTTGGGGTGGTAGCACCTGTTAGGGCCTCAGCTATGGGCAAATAGTTAACCCCCCCAAACTTTGGTCAAAACCCTATGAAAGTGTAAAAATGTTTTAATACCAGAAATACTTTGTAAAAAAAAAAAAAAAAAAAAATTATTACCAGCAATAAAATTTTGTTGGCATTAAATAACCTGTTGAGGTTGATATGCTGTAAAACAAACCAAACCTTATCTTTTTCTTTTTCTTTGTGTCAAGTAGACATTGAGTTCCAAATTTGCTTACCTGTAATCTGTTATGACATTTTTTTTCCCAATGACATTTTTTTTGTAACTTTGTTTTCTTTTTTTTTTTTTTCTTTTTTTTTAAACTCTGATCACCAGATAATCAAAGCAAGAACCAAAAAAAAATCACGTGTTTACATTTGTAGTTGGTACAATTGTCACCATGGGGCCATAAACCCTCTGCCAAATCCCCACATACACATACTTGAGTGTTATATCTGTGTTTATTGCAAATTTCATTTGCCAGATGTTTACATTAAATGTTTTGTAAGTGTCCAACAAAAGAAATTTCTGAAACAAGAAATTGCCACCTTCAAATTAGCTTTCATATTTTCTCACCACTCAGTCAGATACGTGATACTTGCTTGGGTGATCATGTCTCTTTTGATACTTCCCACAGTAGGTTGACATTTTTTTTTTCTGCAGTAGACTAGTTGCCAGCCAAGGCTATAAAAGCCAGTCTACCCTGTTATTTAACCCATAGGTGGAGGGAGAAGAGATGGATTTATACATTTCCCTAGGGTATTTGCACACAAGCACATATAATGAACTCTATTCATCACTACAGGGTGCAATTTATGTAAGAATTGAGCCCAAAATAATTTTATACTATAGTTTACAAGTCACAAGAGCTACTCCAGGTAGAATGTTATTGTATGAAGTTGTTGTAATGGCATAAAAGGAATATAAGTGCATATTATGAGGATATGCAAGATAGATAACATTTGATCCTAGGTTTGAAGATGTTAAGAGTGTAGTGATCAGGGAAAAGCATCATCTTGGGAGTCTGTTCCACAATATAACAATTCAGAGGAAGAAGCTTTTTGAGTGCAACTTCATCCTTACCAATGCGTCTATCCTGTGATAATTTATATCATTTTACAGTTGTTTCGATGAGGTAATGTAAAATTTGGGTATTAATTTAATCATGAATGGAGAATGACTAACATCATTAAGAAATTTATCAAAGATAAAATTATATTTAAGTTAATGTTCTTTCTCTGTAATATTATCTTTAATAGAGTTGTTTTTGCAGTTTAAACTTGTTCCAAAAGTACACAGTAAAGGGAAATAAATGTCCATTGGCAAGGAATTTCTAAACCAAGGAATCACCACCATCAAATTAGCTTTCACATTTTATTTTCTCACCACTCAGTCAGTTAAATGCCTTACATAATACTTGCTTTGGCAATCATGTCTCTTTCGATACACAACTGACTAGGCAGAAGATTTTTCCACAGTAGGTTGCTATTTTTTTTCTGCAGTAGACTGGTTGTCAACCAAAACTATAGAACCCAGTCTGTCCTGCTATTTAACCCATAGCTGGAGGAAGAAATGAATTCATACCTTTACCAAGGATATCTGTGTATAAGTGAATATAACAAACTTGACTGGAATTTGAACTCCAGTCTCTGATTTCTCATTTCGAGTGGATATCTATTACACCTCAACACATACAGTTTCAAATCCATGCTCTCTTACTAGAGCCAAAGACTATTTAACTTAAAACCTCACAAGTAAGGTGGGTTTTCACCTAGTATATACTAATGGGTGCTTGAAGGTTGTTTAGAATAAATCCTTGTATAGATGTGTTCACTATTAAGGACTGCCACTGTTGTTAACCTTAGACACTCTTCTGTGGAGCTTAGAGCCACAGCCTCACTACTCTGTGTTGCCTCTATAGTTTCCATAGCAAGTAGGTATTTACAAGGTGGAGTTGCTAGCTCCACTTTAAACTGGTTCTAAGTAGTTTTCCTTCTCTTCAATTGGTTGCCACGCATAAGAACCCAGCTTACCTTGTTATTCATCTCTAACTGGAGAAGACATGGATTCATACCATTCCAATGGGGGCAAATCGACATGGTGCAATGATTAGAAAACTTGTCTTGCTACATCCATTACGACTGAATACAGAGTTTGATCCTCACTGGGTGCCCCATGCTTTTGAACTTGTGCCACATCTAAGCTACACTTAGGAGGGACACTTTGATGTGGTGTAATGGTTAGCAAGCTTGTCTTACTATAACAATTAAAACTGAGTAGTGCGTTCAGTTCTCACTGAGTGCCCCATACTTTTGGCCTCGTGCCACATTTAAGCTATACTTAGTAAATTGCTGTGTTGGGCATTTTAACCTGGTGTAATGGTTAACAATCTTGTCTCGCTAGATCATTTTTGACTGCTTAGTGTGTGTGTGTGTGAGAGTGATCCTCACTGGGTGCCCTATACTTTCAGTCTTGTGCTAGGCTTAGAAAAGCATGATCAGTGGTATTTGTTTGAAATCTAACACAACAATCATAGCCAGAATTTTAATTTCACATACCAATCACATTTACTGTGTTGCTAACTTCAAACACATTCACATTAAAAAAAATTACGACATTTTTTAATATTAGTTTTGCAATTGTGCTTAATATTTAAGTAATATTAAAAATTATGAATTTTTGAATTTCACACTGTTATTTTCTTAGAATAAAATGACTAAATTTGAGCATAGAAAATATTTAAGTAAAATTAGACTACTTTTTTGCTTACATTTTCTTTGTATTATTCTTGTTTCCTTTCAGGAGTGGCCAAATAGTTTCTTATTGGCCTATATAAAAGTTTCTCTTCCTTTCTGATTGCTTGCTCAGTGAATTAGAGCACTTAGCTTTTCTGCTATCTAAGGTTGCAGCGGTTGCGTATATTTTTCAGGGAGTGCAGGTTGCAGATATGACAAATTGTTGATATCTGCAAAAGCTGCTTTATAAATATTTATATTCAAATGCAAGGCTTCTTGACTGTAAATTAGTTTGTCATTATCTACCCACCAGTGTGTGTGTGTTTTTTTTTTTTTTTTTTTTTTTTTTTGCAGGGATAGGTAGAACAAGGGTTTAAAATATAGTTAAATTTCTCTTATTCGGTTAATTTTTTTTTTTTTTTTTTTTTTTTTTTTGTTTTAGTCATATCACCCCAAGCAAGGCAATAAAGCCACTAAGATGCAAGGGCTTACTGAGTGTTGGAGAATATGAGAGAGAAAAACACTATTAAAGATAGTAAACAATTAAAACAAGAATTAAGAAGACAGAACATAACAATTGCATATAGATTTTTAAAAATCAAATTTGGCTGGGAAGCAAAGAGCTGCAAAAACGAGAAGTGAAATAGAAGCAACATTTAGCGTATAATTTAGGGTTCCATCTAGCCATTTCAACTATAAAATAAGACCATACTGCCAATCCAGTACTGCACTTAAATTCCTAAAATCTAGGCACCATAGAGGGAATTTTATCAGAACAATTACCATGAAAGTATTTATAGAAAAGGCACAGGAAAATTACATTACTGTAGTGGGAAACTGACTGAAGGTGAGATGTCAGGTCAGGACCAATAACATTGCAGATTCTTCTTTGGATTTTATCCAGAATCTCTAAATATATAGCAGGAGTACCAGACCAGATGTGGCAGAAATATTAAAAGCAAGGAAGAATGGTAGACTTATAAATATGTAAGATAGATTCTGGCGTGAGAAATTGTTTAGCACGATAGAGTGAACCAACTTTCCTAGCATCCGACCTAGCAATTGATTCAAATTAATCTTTCCCCTTCATGTCAGTGCATAATGTTAATTCAAGTTAATTGCAATGAATCACTCTTCTGGAGGTTAGCATCAGCCATACTGATAGAACGTGAAAAGAGTTCTCTCAGACAAAAGGTTCTCTCATTTTGTGTTGATTAACCCTTTCATCTTGGGAAATAAAACCATATTTACCTTTTGACCTCAATACCAAAATGACTTATGGCCATATCACATTGAAACACCCGTTCCCGTATGATCACTAAAGTTAAGCAACGTAGAGTCTTGTCTGTACCTAGATGGGTGACTGCTTGGGAATAGGGGGTGCTGTAAGCTTGGATGTGCAGGTGGTGTAATTGATAATAGCTCAGAATTGGAAATTAGAGAGCTGAGGTCCAATTCCAGTTGGGTTTGTTATATTGGGAGAGGTATGAATCCACTTCTATGAGTTAATTTATTGGACTTGTATCAGTAAATCATTAACATCTCCAAAAAAAGCTTTTACAATCTAAAAATATTTTCTGGCTTTAAATAACCTGCAAAGGGTTGATAAAACAAAAAAAAAATCAATCGATGAAATGCTAATTGGCTACACAGGCATATCTTTTAGATATTACATTTACTGAAATGTATAGAAACTATCGCAGCCACAAAGTGAGGGATCAGTTTATATGTTGAGTGCAATATAGAATTGATCCCCCATTTTATATCCACACTTTTTTTTTGTATATCAAATTCTGGTTAGGCATGAACCTGCTTCTTCTCCAGCTATGGGTTAATTAATAAGACTTGTATCACTAAGCATTTAACTAAAAAAAAAAAAAAATTCTTAGCATCTAGAAATATTTTCCGGCTTTAAATAACCTGAAAAAAGGTTTGATAAACTGTAAAAACAAACCAATTAATCATAGACAATGACAGCATGTCTTGGTTCGCTCATGTATTTACGTCACTATTAGGTTATTATTTTTTTTTTCTTCCTATATTATAAAAATGACTCAGAAACTTTTAACAAAATTAAACGAAACCTGATTTTTTTTTTTTTTTTCTGGTAACTAAAGTTCATGGGGGAAGAAAGGATATCCTAAAATGTGCATTCAAGTGGTACAAGAGTGTTTGTAACGCTCAAGTGGTTCTACTTAGTGTTGTTACTATGAACAAAAGATACAGACTGACTGAAATTTCTTGCCTTTGTTTCGACTTGTCTATTAGGTTAGTGTGGGCAATCTTATGCGCAAACTCATCATTTAATAGCCATACCCTGTCATATTGATTTTACAAAGAGGTGACACTTGAAAATGCCTCTCTCTGTTGAGACCTCTGCAGAGAAAATAGAAATCTCATTCTTAGGAAAATAAATCTTTAAAGGAATTTTTTTTTTTTTTTTTTTTTTTTTAAATACAATGTTTTTTGTTTGTTTAGTGGCACATCAAATCCTTATGGGTCATTTAATGCTGAAATTTAATTTTCATGGGAGCATTAGAAATTTCTTTTACAAAAAAAATGTATCACTGGTAATTTTTTATCTGTCTATATTCCCGAGATGAGGTATTATGTACACTATTTACATTATTCAAACTATTGTCCTGATCTTTGTTGCCATATTTATCACAATGTTTCAGCCATTGTATACTCTGGCCTTCTTCAGGTGGTTGGAAATTTTGAACTGAACCCTTTATTTCGTTTGCTCGGTAGACTTTTCTAGTTCCACGTGCCATGTCTAATGGATATCAGTTATCTTCTGTTAATTCACCTCTTAAGGACATCTGGCACAGTGGATAAAGGCATTGATTAGATCCAGTGACAAGATGTGAGTTCAATACCTGGTTAAGGCAGTGGAGAGGGGAATTAACAAGAGATAACTGATAACTGACATCCATTAAACATGGCATGTGGAACTAGAGCAGTCTACCCCAGTGAGCGAAATAAAGGCTTCAGTTCGACATTCCAACCACCTGAAGAAGGTTGGAACGTACAACTGCTGAAACGTTGTGATAAATATAGCAAGAAAGATGAAGACAATAGTCCAGATAATGTAAATCGTAGAATTTTTTTTTCCTTACAGATCTGTATTGCTGGTATTTTTACTATAAAAATGTTTATACTTTCCTAGTATTTTGACCCAGTTTGGAGGTTAATTATTTACCTATAGCTGGGGCCCTAACAGGTGCTGCCACTGCAAGTCAGGTTGGACCTGGGAACAACAGCAATTAAGAGGTGGTTCCTTGCTCCTCAAAAAATCGCAATCAGTCCTTGTTGCTGGATGTAGTTTCTCATACTCGGGACAGGAATGTACTGTCAGGAGATAGTCAGTAATGGCTCTCCACAGCTTGCTTGGGAAGATAGTGGAGAGTCCTTTACCATTGTCTTAAAGAATTCAGAGTTGTCATTGTCCTTGAGTAGGTGTCGTTTAAAAGTAGATAACCCAGTCTAACCTGTTAATTAATTTATAACTGGTGGTTGGGGGAGGAAATAGTTTCATGCCTTTCCCAAGTGACCAATTGCAAATTGAATGCAACAGACGAGGCTGGAATTTGAAATCAGTGAGCTAACCCCCTTTTTTTTTTTTTTTTTTTTTTTTTTTGTCATAACCATTACTCTATTTGCACATCCCTAAAGTGTATTAAGTGTTACAGCCATAAGTTAAGTAATGTTGAGCCTGCTCAGTACCTAGATGGGTGACCACTTTAGAATACCATGTGCTATAAGCTTAGATGTGTAGGTGGTATAATGGATAATGGCTCTGAAATATTAATCAGAGAGCCGAGTTCCAATTACAGCTGATTTTTTTATATTTGCTTACATGCAAGCACCCTTGGGAAAAGTAGGAATCCATCACTTCTCTCCCCAGCTATATATTAATCAGTAAGACTTGTATCGCTAAAATCATTATTATCTTAAAAAAAAAAAACAAATTCTTACAATCTAAAAATATTTTCTGGCTTTAAATAACATAGTTGGTAAGCTGTAGAAAATTAATTCATCTGTCAATCAACCTAAGATATCTTGAACATCACCAACAATGAAGGCAACAGGAAACCACTCTGTTATCTTTCCCCATGAAATCATTGTAAATCACATGCAATAATGAAAAGCAATCTGTGGAGATACATGACATTTAAAGAAAAGAAAAAAAATCATCGACACCTGAGGCACAATAATATATATACACATACATACACACACACACATATATAATTTTTATTTATTTATTTATTTTTTTTTTTTTTTTTTAAGGTATCGAGTATGACGGTAACAAGATACAGTGGGAACCATTATAATTATGGATAATTTTATGAAAGTAATTGTAATCAAAATCAATCAGCTTTAACTTTTAAGTCAAATTTTGTATTCATTTTTTATAATGTAAAGTTGTTTACAATAATGGATTTCTAAGGGTGTGCTGAAAAGTTGTTGACTCCCAAACAAGAAGAAAAAATCTGCTGATTGGTCTGATTTTTGTGAATGGGTTTGAGTGAGAAATCTTTTTTTCTGTATATCTCCATAAGTTATTTCAGTTTTTCATTTACAAAGGGAAACATATTTTATTGAATGATATCTGATGTTACATTGAATACAAGCAGTTCAAACTACAGTAACATTACATTATAATGATAGAAAGGACTTAAAAAACAGATATGAATCTTTCACTATGGCAAATTTTTTTTTTTTTTTTTTTACAAAGTCAGTTAAATATAACTCATTAGCTCATTGATGTTGAAGTGTAAAATTCCCACATAAAACAAAAAGAATTCAGGTTGTTTTTGCATTTGAACTTTCTAGTACTTAATAGCATATTGCTTGCTTGATTGTTCTGCCAATTTGTAAAGATTTTTAAAGCCCTTAAGTCATAAATTTAAGAAAATCTGGAATATAAACACACAAATTGATTTAAATAGGAACTTATAAGAGAGATACTTAGAATGAGAATTAAACTAAAATATGAATGAGGAGTTAAAATATAAATTATGTCTAATTAAACCATTACAAAATTACTCACTATGCCAATTCCAAATTATGTTAATGCACAAACTTAATTAACTGACTGATTGAATTGACTGATTAACTCCAGAAACGAGTCACTTTTATATATGTTAGTTGTCCCTCTACAATTTTCTACAGAAAACAGGAATGCTCTAGAAAATTCCAGAATTCTATATTTTTAGCTTAATTTACTAATATTAAAATGGGTAAAAAATGATAATATTTAAAATATTTTTAGAATGTTACATATAAAAGTATACATAATATAACAATAGCATAAGAATCAGTACAACTACCTGTATAAAAACCTAGATGCATAATGTGTACCTGCAAAAAGACTTAGCAAGTATTGAGAAAAAGAACTTTTTATGAATACGACAAGAGAGGAGGGGGGTTGAGCAAAACCAGGACTTGATAAAGCAAAACCTGAGGTAAAAAATTTGTCCTCGGCGCACCCACGCCCAAATTATATTTAACCGTCAAATTAAATTCAATAGATAAAAACTTGAAATTTCTTCCTCTGTGTTATTAGCTGGTTGCTCTTATCTACAAAAAATGAGACCCCCCCCTTCTCCCCCCTCTATCTAATCACAATATGCTGTCTGGTCTGTTGTAAGTTAAACATAGAACCAAAGATCTGATTTTTTTTTTTAATCATTTCACTTCCAAGCAAGGCAATAAATCCACCAAAATGTAAGGGGAATAGTGGATGTAAGAAAATATGGGGGCGAAAAAAAATCACTATTAAGGGGAGAGTACATTAACAGAACAAGAAATTAGAAGACTATAGATAACGATTGACATTGCATTTAAATTTTAGAAGACCAAAGTTGATTGGGAAGCAAGAAGCTGAATCTCCACGTGCAAGAGAAGAAACTGTTAGAATAGAACTTATGGTTCCATCTAGCCATTTCAACTATAGAATAATGAAACCTTGCCACCAATCTAGTACTGCGTAATTCATAGTCTAGGTTCCAAAGAGGAAAGCTTATCACATGAAAATATTTGTAGAAAAGGCACAGGGAAGCTACATTATGATACTGGGGAAAATGACTGAAGCCAAGATGCCAGATCAGGACCAGTGACATTGCAGATTCTTGTGTGCATTTTATCAAGAATCTCTAAATACATAACAGAAACACCATACCATTTTTGGCGGCCATATTCAATGCATGGATGAAGTGTAGACTTATAAATGTGTAAGGTAGATTCTATATACATTAAAACAGTATTCTTGATTTGGGACCTTCTAAATCAGGCATGGGCAACCTTTTTTTAGCAGTTGGCTACATGAGCTATGGTTCATCACAAAGTGATTTTTCATAGTAGGGTACCTCTACTATTTTCCCT